CTAGTGTTTAATAAGGTTAAGGCATAATAAGGTAAGACAATTTGCTTAAAATGTTCTTACCTAATGGGATTCGTTTGTACTTTTGGGCTGAGATTAAGTGGATTGATCTTAGTGCAATCCATGCCTTAACTAGCATTAGAATCGGATCTAATTTTGAGCTCAAAATTAGCTCAATTCAGATTTAATAAGACTCAACTCACTACATCTAATGCGGGACGGACTATACTCGGGACAGCTAGTTACTAAGATAATGATTCAATCGAAAGACATCATTATTTATGCACATAAGTGTCAGATTATTCGGTGACATTTTGGAAGTCCATTTTCTAAATTTTGAAAATGCCGGGGGATTGTTGAAAATTTTTCAAAATTTGTATGATGTACATACATGTATTGTATTATGAATTATTCTAAAATGTACATATATTATAATAAATGTATTTTCATTCATGTCTTTGAGGTACATAAATGTATTGTATTATGAATTATTCTAAAATGTACATATATTATAATAAATGTATATTCATTCATGAATTTGAATGTATATATATTCATGTATGTGGAGATCCTTGAATGTAAGGGATAGATTCATGTCTTTGATCATAGAATCATGAGATGCATGAATTTGTACACAATACCTTGAATCTATCCATACAAGTATTTAATAAGTTCTTTTGTTTCTTAAACAATCTCTCCTATATAAAGAGGTCAAGTAGAGAGTGATTTGCTGCAAAAAATCGCTTTCCTACTACTTTGAATTCTCTCAAAAAGCACTCCTTAGTTCAAGAGGGTTTGTTTTATTTTGTGCAAGAGTCTAAGACAAACAAATTTCATCTTATGGTAAAAGATATTTGTCCAAGGTTATTGCATGTTATACCGGACAAATTAGGCTAAAGAAAAGTGATATTTTATCATGATTTGAAACCAATTCTTGTCACAATATTTGCCAGTTCGTTGTAATATTCCCAACAAACATACGACTTGGTAAGCAACTTAATAACCTGGATATTTTTTTTTAACATGTGTCTTCTTATACATGTTATCTTTTATCTTTTTCTTCCTTTTTTTGGGGGGGGGGGGGGGTAATGCCTTTAATCCAACATGATTTAAAACAGTAAATTGCTGGCAGAATTGTGAATTGGAGATGTGTACATATATATAGACTCCAAAACCTGGTTTGTTTGGGCCCTTTACATTCCAATGGATTGATTATATATATAAACCATTGAAGTTGTCATCCACATTTGGCCAAAAGAGTTGGAAGCTGATCTGTATAATCAAAGAAAACTGGTGGACTGCGTACAAAATGATTGACCTTCATGCTCAAGATGGAGTGACTAATTTTATTATCATTATAGCTCCAAAATCTAAAGGAAATTAGAATTCTATAAGTACATAGATTTCAAGATAACCACATTGATGAAATCAAGTATTAATGCTTCCTGCTGCATTACCAGAACCTGCAGGAATTTAACACCAAAAACAAGCCTCATGCTTTATATATATGGAAAGATATTAATGCTTGTCGCCGTCTCCCAATTTGGTTGCAATAATGCCAACAGCTCCGATCAGGACATGGAGGTGTGCGCTGGCCTGCTTAAGTTGGTCAGGTTCGGGTAAGGCGGGCTGGAGATCACTGAAAGACCGATCACAGCCATGTGGACCGTCTTCGGCTTCACCGAGTCTGTCCCCAAGATCTAAATAATCCATTTTACACGAGAGATCATGGCATGCATTCATTACGAGCACTCAGGCTATCGTCGTAGCTGCCAAGGCAGGAGTTCAGTGTGTCCTTTGTATTTTCATCGGTTGCATGTCCGGCGAGCTCCTGTATCAAAGATTGGGTGACGGATACTTTTGATGTTGCTAAACCTAGCACAACTTTGGCCCAGACCGGCAAGATCTGCGGTGTTGGAACCAGGGACCCGGAAAGTGCTGCAGCAATACTGTACATCCTTTGATAATGAACAAACGTCACCGATCAAGTCTGCTTTTGCTGGACCACATTATAATTCCCACTACTACCATTCAAAGCCATTTGTCTTTGATTTCTAAGGCAGTTAGCTAGCTTCAAGTTTTGTAGCTTGTAAATACTTGAAGTTGTAGGTTGATATTAACTGAGCCTAGCTATCATATTTATACCAATAGTTCTGGATCAAGGGCATCATAAGTTGAATTCTACATAGTTCGAACTGGTTTGTGTAATTTTACTACATTTGGTAAATTTGGTTTTTGTGTTGATAGTGTTTAATATGTCTTAGCCCCTGTTTCATAACTCAATTCATCACTTAAATTTAATGAATTCAAATCTTAACATATTCAAATCATTTGATAACCAATAATTGAACATCTAAATTAATTAAGTGATACCGAATTTTCTAGGCAAAACTTACTCTCAAAATTAAGTAATAAGCTATTCAATTATCACTGAATGTGATATGCACTCAAATATATTAGATTTAATATTTAATCATTCAATAACTTAATAGATTCAAACTTTAGATTTCAAATTTCAAACTTCAAATTTCAAATTTCAATTTTATCAAATGCACCCTAATATCTATCAATTAGTTAGTTAAGGCATGCGTATAGTATCAGTTATAGGATTAGGAATTTCTTATGGGACACATACGACTTGTTATGGGACATAATAATTCTTTGGAATCTTTTATTATGGTCAGCAAATTAACTATTCAGTAGTACTTTCTAGTTACTTCAATAACCTCAAATAGGGAATTTAAAAAACCCCCCACTCAGGTGCTAGAATTATGAATACAAATTTAGTATCCATGGTGTCATTGAAATTTGGTAATAGGCATGTTAGGTGAGAATTATTTATTATGGTCAGGGCATTAATTCTTTAGTAGTTGTATTCTGGTAAAATTGTCCTATTGCAGCTTTGCTACTACTACTTTTGAACACCTCTATCAACCTATCAATTAGTTTAATTTGATATATATATATATATATATATATATACACACACTAGTAGGGGTGGGCTGTGCTATGCACTGCCAGTGCCCATTGGAATGAATTCACTGGTAGTTATTGATGAAACAGTAGCTTTTATAGTAGTTATAGTTATATTTTTCACAGGAAACAATAAGTTGTTTTTGTTGCATTTTATTAGTAATTGCATTGTATAGTAGTAAATTCACATTTGTTTCTTTCTGTTTAACTTGTAAATACAAATGTGTATTGTTGGAAAAAATATACTGATTTCTATAAACTATAGAATGTTTTTGGTTTTAATTATATTGTCTTGGTGATAAATTATTCAAAGAAGTTACACACCTTGTGATCTCTGTTTTACGAAAATTACCAGGAAGGAAGTTATGAGAACAAATAAAATGAATAAAAGCTTCTGAGCTTTAATCTACTTTGTCAAATGTAACCACTTGATTTATTGTTGTCAAAATTTTCATCTAAAAATGTAGTCAATGATAAGTAAACCACTCCATTGATTCATTGTCCAATCTAATAGTGAATGCATGACGAAATTACAAAGAACAATTAATCAAGTGGTTGAAATTTATACAAAAAACAATCCAACTCTTAGGTAAATGGTAAACATCTAATTGAAACAAATCGTTGAAAGAAGTAAAACAATGGCCAATGATTTGTAAAGATTCATTTTACAAGAAAAAAATGGAAACCAGGAATGATATGTATAAAAGAGCGGTCAACTATTTTGAGTTTTACTAAAAGGGATGAGTAAGTTGTTTGACCATTGAACCATCAAACAATTACAAAAAGAAAGCAATCAACCACTGCAAATCTAATGGTCTAAAGCTAAGCAAGATATCAAAATTATTTTTAAAAAAGCAAAAAATCTCAAATAAATAAAAACCTTAAAATTTGCTTTGTAATTAAACACGGCTTGGGTAAAATAATTCTTAGACGGACTGTTTCATTTTAATTATGTAAAATAAATTATATACATCTTCCCTAACAAAATGCTTTATAGTCTTATTGCAAACAATATCATTTTTTTCATATTCCTTTTTAAATATTTATTAGAGACATGATTTATACATCTTAATATTTTTCCCACACCGTAAAAATATATGTTTTATCATATTTTTTTTCCAATAAATCCCAGACAAATAAAAACCTCAAAAATTACTTTCTAAATGAATAAAGTTCATAACTGGCATATTTGTTTTTATTTTTATGCCATCAATTAAATCATCTCTTACCCAATTTCTTTGTAATATGAAACATTTATCAATTTTTGTATCTTTTCTTGCCACTAATCCCAAAGAATAAGGAGAGTGTTTATAAAATGAAAGAAAATTATAAATTGAAGCAGTTGATGCACTTATATATGCTTTGTAAATAATTAATCTAGCATTTAAACCCCCTTGTCATGGTGTGTCTACTCTCATTAGAAAAAAATATCAATTTTGGTATTTTATTTTCCCTCAAAGTCCAAATAATTTTAAAAATCTATAGAAAAATTAGGTTGCATTCTGAATATTAACTTTGCGTTTACACTTAAATTTTTTTATGCTTATACATTTATTCAAAGTAATAATTGATAAATTTATTTTTTGAATTAAACATATTAATATCAAATATTTCTCAATTGATTATTTATTGACTAAAGAGGCAATAAATAATCAGCTATTATGGCTTGATCCATTACTGTGTATCATGATCTCTTGAATTTTGGATTAAAAATCAATGGATCATAATATGGTTCATAAATACATTTTTTCATTTAGGTAAAAGTCTAGAATTGGATTTCAATTTTGTAGTTTCAAAGATATTGACATAATTTAGATCCTACTTAAAATTTCAACAGCAATTTTTCCAAGAATCCAAAGCCAAAAAGGGAAAAAAAAACTATAATGATTGGTTCCATTATATATGCTAAAAACTATAATGATTGGTTCCATTATATATGCTAAAAACTAATAGAGCTGAGAGCTGCAATCATCCGAATCTGTAAGAAGAAATTTGTTTAAAGGAAGTTAGAAGATTAATAAAGGGGAGAAAGAAGAATTAAGCATACAAATTCATCATTTGAGTAAAATAACAACATAGTTTAAAAACTGAGCATTGGTTCAATAGTAACATCTTTTCTACTTTCCCACTGCCAAGTAATTCAGCAGGCAGTCAAAAACTTTCTAGTAGTGCTATATTCTAGACAACTATAAATTGAAATACTGACTGCCCACTAATTAGATTGCTAACTTGCATTTATTCGATCAAGTTCTTTAGGAGAACACCATCATAAAGGATCCTGAGCAATGATATGAAATTTGGGAACATCTTTTGTGATCTTCATTTGGGATTGCTATCGAAATTTGACCGCCAACCTCAGTAGTGTATGCTTTGATAGTGTGGTTCTTCGTTGTCCTTTTGTCCTTGGATTTTCCAGATTAAAAGCATAGATGGAACAAACCATTGTAACCCCTTCAACATGAGATGCTAGTTTAGTAAAATGTGTAGCATCCTTAATTTCATTAGTGAACTTTGTCTGAAATATTTGTTTGAAATATTTAATCAACAATTACATGTTGACTATGCAATTTCCAACTGCGAAGCAATATAGCTTTTTGCAATCTAAAACTAAGGCAATAGTCTAAAATTTTAACAGATAAGCAGATACATTAAATACAAATAACTTATTAAACCATACAGAGTCTTTTTTTTGTGGCAGCCTCATTCAAAAATCAAATAGTAGAAATTTATAAGTCACTTATGCCTAATCCATAACTGAGACAACTTATCTTTTTCAATTATTTCCAACTAACCAAAAGAATGCTCTTATAAGGCTTTAGGATATCTCAAGAGTCAAGATCAAAAGCTTTACGTGAATTTGTACGGGTAAACTTGTGATAAAATGTCATATAAAAGAATCCAATAAGCAAAACTTAAAGCTATAAAACGGATCAAATAAGTTGAACAAAGCCTCATTAATTTTTTAAGGAAAAATATGACTTTTTAGTATAATGTTTCAATCCTTTCCTACAATTGTTCTTCTAAGAGCATTTAAGCGCATTTATCAAGTTGCACTCATCATTATGCAATAACTCATCGAGTTATAGCTCATGGAGTTGAACTTACTTGGTCATCATGGCTAGGCGAAGAGCGGTATATGCTAACAATTTCTCAACATATGGACTGAAAATTGCAGCATGTAAAGATCTTGTTACATCATTTACCACAAATCCCAAGCAACACCTATCGTATTTTGCCATCACATGAAGCAAATTAGAAGTTATATTGTTGTAAATGATTTACTAATTCTAGCATTAGAAAAGTAAATAATAACATTTACCTCGCTTCAACTCCAGTTTCTTCCTTGCATGATAGGCATCTAATGGTACATTCTATCTCAATATGGATAGATTTTTTGGTCTTAAGCCAACAGTTTCTGAGAAAAAATCAGCCAAAAATTGACATTTTTAGCAAAATTAAATTGAAACTCAGAAGTCTTAAGTCAACATGTACCAAAGCCATGGTTAAACATGCAAGTTCTTTGTCTTTAAAGCAATAGGTGTTATTATAGGGTACTATTAAGTTCAAGCCTTCACCATAAGAATATGAATTTCAATTTGAATCATAATGAGTTCATAAAGACTATCCTTTAATAATGAAATAAGATTATTAAACAAATTAATTAACAACAGTGGTTCTAGTTATGATTTTAGCAATTTTGCCTCTTAGGCTCTTGTTATCAACACTACATAAACGTTTTTGTTTTGTTACTCCAATAAAACACAATAAAAATTTAAGAGTTTATTTATTTCCTATGATGTTAAATAGTAGAGGAAAGAAGAAAAATTTACTTAGTAGCAGGGGTTGTAGCATGATCATTAGCAGTAGAAACCTAGGGCTTCTTCTCTTGAGCTGGCTTAGATGACTGGGGGACAATTTCTTTTCCAACCCCAGAACCCACAACAGTTTGTTGACTTCTGCTCGCAACTCCACCAGTTCCAATACTCTTGACAAGCCTATTAGCACTCCTAGGGGAGAATAAGCCACTGCATTAGCCAAGTTCATCTCAGATCCACCATTCCCAGAATAAATTCACTTGCCAGAATCACTTTTAATGGTGTCAGCAATGTCCTCTTTGGTCCATGAAATTAAACTCTTAAGTACACCAATATGTGCAGAGATAACAAACTAACAATACAAAATTTCTAAGATATGTGCATATGATATATCTAAGATACATATGACGTATCTTAGAAATTTTATATTAAATTTTGGAATACAATACATATGATATATCTAAGATATGTGTAGCGATAACAAACTAACAATACAAAATTTCAACTTCTACTGTTGGAAATTCTCAATCATAAGGTATATTACATCGGCACCATCAGAATTTATGTGGTAGCTCTTTACCTAGACAAAAGGTAACCATAAGTTTTTTAAGTTATTATATGAAGATGAAGTGCAAGACATACTTGAATCGGCAACTTCTACAGCACAAAAAACTATAAACCATATTTCCAACTACTAATCTACTAATAATTAACTTCTTGACAGGATAATTTGTGCCCTAAAAAAAACGTATTCATGCAACTAGAAGTGTACAATTATGTCTCACGTTGATCTTGCAAATTGCATTCGCCTAGATCTGGTACTGTATTCTATTCCTTTCTCTCTTGAAAACAGAGGGCAACAGGCACGAACATTTTTTTGCTACCCTAGAAAAATACTGGAAACTTCTGGTGTATAATAGGACAGGAATTTAATTATTCTCAGATCATGGGCATGGTCAATTCGTAAACAGCAGAAATTCAGAATTATATATTTCATTCAGAAAATACATGGAATCATCTTTTACATTTCTCCTGTCTTCCTACCTTCTTCATCTTTACAAGTGTCAGAAACTACCATTAGAAAAAGTGCCATAGAAGGAATTGGCCATAGAGAAAAAAATGATATATACCGAAGTAGAATTTACCTGTGCGATCATTCTTTCCGTGTTTTCTCTGCTATCCCAAGTTTCACATAGACATTTTATCAAACACTTGATGGCCATTGGTCTCTGAGATTTCACAAAACTTTGACTTGCTTGAATAGCTGTATTTGCTAGATAAATCATTGCAACTAAAAGAAACAACACAAAGGAAAAAAAAACAGCTCGAATATCAGAACATCATCTAATTAAAAAAATAAGAGAAAAAGAAAGAACAAAATGAAGAAAATCTGATAAAAATTTTAAAAAAGGAAAAAAAACAAAATGAAGAAAAAATTCATTGACACATATATTCACATTCAGCAGAAAAGAAGAAAAAGGAAAATTCTGTACTAAAGTTAGAATATCATCTAATAAAAACCTAAAAGGCGAAAAAAAAATTCAGAACCAAAAGGAAAAAGAAATAAATTCTTACTTTTCCTGTGGCCCTTTCTCCAGAACTCTTTCTTGCTGGAGTTCTTTTTTCTTCTCCTCTACTGTACACGATATCACAAAATGTAACGAAGGAGAAAAAGTGCCATAAAGTAGACTCAATCTATGAAACAATTGGTGGTTTCCATGGCAATAATTACCACTGATACGTTAGCCATGTGTTTTCTATAGTGGAGAATGAGAAGGATTTGGTGTAAAAGGGATACGGAGAAAGGAAGAAGCTTACCTGCTTCTTAGCTTTTTCTGACCATGTGCAGGAGCAGTTCAACTGCTATTCTTGATCGTCTGACGTACAAAGGAAAGGATGAAGTAAAAGAATGATATACTTTCAGCCACCCTGAGGTACCTTGCATTTGACCAAAAGTAACTTAGTAAAACGTTTCACCAATGTCGACCGAGGAGAAATAAACTAAACTTCAGCAGCTGACTAAACTTCCGCCAATGAAACAAGCAATGTCAACCGAGGAGAAATAAGCTAAACTTCAGCTCTGGGGCTGCCACGTGGCAACGTGGGAAGAAGCTACAGTAAGACCAACTGGAACTTATATTGTAGTTAGACTAGGAGGTTACCGGCTGTGCTAAGCACAGCCTAGGCCCCCTATAATCTATTGTCATATATTTTCGTATAAGGTAAGATTAACAGTAATGTTTGTGAAATAGGATTCTTAAAATTATAAATTACCAATCAAGCATGCAACTAACAATATAAGACTAAACAAAACCAAAAAATCATTAGCATTGCACAAGATAAGAGAAGATGACAAAAGATTAGCAAGTAGTGTTACAAACAACTTGATATCTTCAAGTGCAAGTTAGTCTTACAGAGATAGGAGATGACTTGCTGAATGCTTAATATAAAGTGCAATGATAGGCAGCAATTACAAAAGATCACATATTGAGATCCATTAAGGTGCACAAAAGAACAATTTCTAATGGATGTCAATATTATGTCAAAAGATGCAAGATTAGTAATTCAGCTGTAAAGTGCTTCAACATTAGCAAAATTAGCAATTCAAAAGGCTTCAAGGAAGTTCAGAGTTCACGCTGCTTCTTCAAGGGACTTCTAGGTGCATTGGTGGGCAGCAAGGTAGATGTATTAGCTTCAGCAAAATTCAAACCAATTTTGGAAGGTACAGTTCCAAAAACCAAGGCACAGCCAGCCAATGCCCAATCTACTATGTAACAAATATTGAAAAATTCCTTGCCACTCTTATTTTTAAACTTGGGCACAGTTGTATCTAAATCCTTATTCTATATTAGAAATAAATTACCCAATTGAAAAGGTTCAAAATTCTCATCAGACTGAATAATCATTCATCTAAGTCCAATAACACAACTAATACCCAACCAATTGTGTAGAAAATATAATTCAGAGCATCTAAATTGTAAGTAAGTAATGACAGTTCACCTCAATTAAGCTAAGCAAGTATGAGTTGAAAAGTTAAGAGGGAAAAAAATTGCAAAAACAAAGAACAAAATAGATGCAGAACCATAAGAGATTTTTAGTCAATAATCACAAAATGAAACAAAAGGAAGAAACCACAGCTTTGTAGCAATTTGATCCATTTTGAAGTTAACAAATACCTAATTTAAAGTTGCTAAGCAATATGACAATTTAATTACTAATTCTAGCATGTGGTTAAATTCTAATATTTGAGACTTGTTAAGCTTGGTCTAAACGTTTACTGCCTATAAACATAAAAACAATTTATTCTAGTACCTTGTAATTTAGTGAAAATTGCCATAGGGTTGAAAGCAATTGGTTAGCTTGTACAGTTCAAATTCATAGAATATATAAATAAGACGTTTTACTATGAGATTTACTTTGTCCGGTACAACTAAACTGTACCATGAAAACCAGCCAAAAGGTGTGAAGAAGGGAACAAAAAGGCTCCATTAACAATAAAAAGCCTCTTGAATGGCAAGAAAGAAGGGAAGAAAAGCCATTTTGGTTAAAGGTAAAGTATAAATTGCAAGATTTTCCTGCAATAATAAGGTGACGCTCAACTAAAGTAATAACAAATATAGGGAGCACTAATTCTGCTATAATTTACAGTATAGTCTCAAAATATCATCCTATTAAATACACAGGCCAATCCCTCAGAACAAATTGGCAAAATTTGAATGAAAAACTCATACTCTAGCAAAAGAAAATGAAAGGCAAGATTTATGCAAAGACACGAGGAAAAGGCACTTAAAAAAAAATCTAAAATAATGGAAATCCTTGATGACTTACAATGCTTTTCGTCATTTGTGGCTGAAAGCCTGGGACCTAAGTACGCACAGAACTATCAAAAATAGATCCATCATTTAATGGAATAGAGATGCAAAGCAAATAAAGAAAACAGACTTTATCCTTAATGAATGGAAAACGAAGCTTGTGAAAGAGCATTCAAATAATGAATGACCAGGAAAATCACAACCGAAACTTGATTAAAAATTTTAAAAAAAAAGAGAGTAAACCTTTTTAATAGTGAATGACATAAAATATACCATATCTTAGAGTGTTGCAGCACTATGGAATAGGAAAAAGCCCAACTTTCTCCACCTGCAATCACCCAAAAAACATGTAAAATTTAGATTAGTAAAAAGGGGAGAAAAAAGCGAAGAGAAAATTAAATACACAAAAATAAAATTCAGAATGCCTAAGCAGCGACTTTTGGATTACCAATCGAAGATAACAATCACGATGTCTGCAAAGCACTACATGGAAACTATTAACTGCCCAATTTCCAAATCGAAAGTATCTAGGTTCTTAACCTTCCCCATTGGAGAAATTTATCAAATAACAAAAATCATACATGGTTAAAATATTTAGGTAGATAAAAGATTCAGAAATTTATCTGAATAATAAAAAATCATTGCACAGCATAGCAATAATTAGGCAAATAAAAGATTAAATAGTTTAAACCAAGTACTCCAACATCCTAACTCATTAGATTTGGTTCCACCGCCGGCTTAACATAAACTTTCGCATTATCAACTGAATTTTAGAAATATCTAATTCAACTTGCTCCAATCAATAAAGTGAAAATTCACACTTTAAAATTTCAATTGTCCTATTTCCCGTAACTACTGCATCAAACTATCCAACCGAAGCAAAACTTTCCAGTTTTCCACACCCAATTTGATGACATCAACAATTTGTAATAAAAAAAGGAACCGTCTATAACTAAACAAACACAACAATATACACAATCCCACGTGGTACACTACTAAATAACCCATTTTATATCTTGAAGCTAATCTTCAAGATCTATCTCCCAGAAGAAAATGCTTAGTTGGAATGCTACAATTTTTACTCCATTGCAGGGCTCGCTGGGAAGTTTATGACAGCAAAGCAGAGGATACCAATTAGCAAAGATAGGTGGTATTAAGCTAAGGTGACATTAAATAAGTCATAAATGCCCAAGATAGCAAATTTACAGGTAATTTAGAGTAAAGGCCCCAATCTTTTTTGGGACTGAGGCTATTCAAATCGAAGGTACAAGAAAAATTCAAGATTTACAACTTGGGTTCTGAGTAAGAAATTTGAGGCATCTCTAATTGGGCAAATCAGTTGGGCTGGAGCAGCAAATTTCTCTGACTTCATATAAGTCTAAGATTTGGCAGCAACTCCAGCACTATTCTCAGTTTCCTGATTTCAATAATTACCTCGCTTTCATTTTCGCTCGTGCTCAGGTCTTCTATTTTCTCTCCTCTTTCTGCCTCTCTTGCTTTCCTTATAGTATCTATTTATTTTGAGCATTCAAGCAACATTTCTTATTCTTCTTGTGGCAATCTCGGCCAAAGAAAAAATACCAAAAACACCAGAAAAAAATGAAGAAATACCGGAAGCCAACAGCATCAAACTATTCTTTCCTTTTCTCCTCCTGAACGTTTGCTCTTCAAGATGCATGAATCAGATCAAGCTAGGCAATAAGACAAGGAGACAAAACATTAATAAATTTTTTATTTCCTTTCTTAAAGTGCAACGAAGTTTTATTGTTGAAAAAAAGGAAAAAACAGAACAGTTATGGCAAGAAAGTAAGGAAACAATTATGCATAAGGGGAGAAAAAGAGGAAATAAAACTGAGAGAAAAAGTAAAAGCCATTCCTGTCCTTAAAGGGCGACGAAGATTTCCTGCAAAAAAAAAAAGGGAACAAAACGGTTATGGCAAGAAGGGTTAAAATAAGGAAGAAATATGCACAAGGGAAAAAATGGATAATAAAACTGAGGGGGAAAACAAACCCCGTGAGTACATGATTCCAACACATGAGGGAAAAAAATTAGGGAGAATAAGAGGAGTTCTATTCTCGGACAAAAACCTAAGCAAGAAAAATTGATTAAATTAGATCAGATCAAAGAATGTTTATAGCATAAGAACACTATGACTCAACTGATTTTTTCACCATCTATTCTCCCGTAACAAAAGGGAGATGGAAGAAGAGAAGAGAACAGGAAAGTTGAATTTGATGGGGATTGTGACGACCCCACTTCCCCCTAAGGCGAACCAGAGGGTTGGCGGGCCGTCTGCCTAGCTCTCGCCAGGACTCACGCAAGCAAGCTAGCAAAAAATCCTTCCGAAGTATAACCTAGACTATTACAACATCGTTTCTCTCCAAATAAACCAATTACTAAAACCACATTAACTTCAGAGATAACAGTATTATAGGATAGGTAGTCGTCGATTCTTAAACCTTACGCATTACAAACCACTGAATAAAATCCGACAATCCCAAATAACAAATTCATATAAGCCACATATCAAGTCTAGGTTTTACACTTTTCCAGGTTCAAGTGGCAATCCAAGACAAAAAGCCGCCTAAACTTAACATAATCCCAATCCGATCTATGACGTAAATATAATTATACATTACAAACCGCAAAGTGAAGTTATAAGATTCAATTACATTCATAAGAAAATACAACTAGGTTTCAAATCGCCCCATTTGCCAGGACCTGTCAGGAAAAATAAATGACGTGGGGTGAGCTACACAGCCCAGTGAGGTTCCAAGACACTCTAACAGTTCAAACAAATCAAGAAAGTCGGGCATATCATATGCAATGGTTCAACGTTACATAATGGCATGTTATCATGAGGTGATAATCATTATACGGTAATTTGAGACATTTAGCATGTATAGTTCATGATTTCATGTTGCCATTTTAGCATGAAACAATTATCATGATACAAGGTAAACATATACTGTAGGATACGGTGTTCCAGTGGAACTTCATCGGTCATCTGCACCTTATGACTTCCGGATCCCCTCGGTTTGACTGGCCTTCACCTTATCCCTCCAGTGGTAGTACTCGAGTATACCGAAACGGTTGTCCAGGGTTCCAACCTACCCGACCGAGCCCAGTCCTGGCTCGAGTAGGTCAGTAACCGAGGCAGGGCCCAAGTTCAGCTTAGAGCTTACAACATGCACAGGTAACCAAGTAATTCGACAAAAGGTAAAATTCATCATTTGAGTAGGTCGAGTGAGGTAAAGTACACACTCGCCTATCAAAGATGGATCAGAAAATCATTATCCAATTATCACATATCAAGTCAAGAAAGCACTTTAATCAAGTAGGCATAGAACAAGCAGGGACACTCACTTTACAAAACCAAGTAGGCTAAGCAAGTATTCTAGCAAACTAAACATGTATCGAGTTCATATAGTCATTTGATATGGTTAATCATTTAACCAATTCATGTCGGTATGCAATGCAAGTATTCATTATTTATATAGACATGAGTATGGTAAAAACTTAACACTTAATAATCATGAAATGAGCATGTCCTAGACTTATTCAATTACGTATTCCTATATGGAACACTCACCTAGTCAAACAAGCGAGTAGTTCCCAAACAAGCGTTTAAGCGTCCGCTCCGAATTCCTCTTGGAGATCCCCTCGAATGCCTGAACAAACAATGATCAACTACCACTCAATATCACTACAAATCTCTAATTATCGAGGAAGATTGTACGCTAGTGCAATCTAAGGAAATCTTATGAAAATGAACCTCAATTACTCGTAAATCGAGGTTCAATTAGAGTTTCTTAAAGTACAAGAGCAATCATGTTTTGCTTTTGGCAATCAAGTATAAAATGTTCAAGTAATACCGAAAGAATAAGGAGTGCTTGAAAACTCCCTTCCGTGGAATCCGGAAAATTTTCAGTTTTGATATGATACTTTGAAAAATCGTATATCACATTCTACATGTCAAAAATTAGAAAGATTGGTACCAATGGAAACCTCTTCCAAAGTACTAAAAGTTCCTAGAATACACTTTTCTAAGATTCCACATGGAAAGCATTCAAAAATAAGCTCAAAGTCTCTGTTTTGGTTCATAAGGCAGATTTAAGTTGGTTTTTGGCCAACTTTGAAAACTCGGCAAAATTCACTTGATTGGAACTAGCCTTTGAAATTTGGAACTCTTTTAGAGTCGCAATCCAAGTTTACAACAAAATGACCGGAACGAGGAATGGAGTTTTGAGTATTAAGATATGGCAACTCAAAGTTACCAAAATTTCCTTGTGAAACATGGGTTTTCAAACTCAAGTCATAAACTTTGGTAATTTATTTGAGTCATGAAACGGTCTCGGAATAATACCATAATTAGCAGTATAATACTACCATATAAGAGCTATTCCTCTATCAAATTTCATAGAAAAATATGCACGGGAAGTCACTTAACAAAATCACTCAAGTTTCCAAAATTTTAAGGCAAGGCTGCCTTGTGTATGAAAATTTTCTTTTCTAAGCTTTTGACCAAGAGCAAATCCTCTAAACATGGTTCATTTGTATAGGCAAAATCTAAAGAACATTCATGGTACCTTTGGTGGGTGTTTAACACCAAGAAATTTAATTAGCAAGTCTATACCAAGCCTTGCATCAAATCTGTCCAAAAGTTAGGATTTCCAAGAGCAGGGCAGGTTCCGTATTTTGATCACAAATCACTCAATTCAACTCGGAATTGAGAATGGTTGGTGGCGTTGGAAAATACATTTGTAGGGGTATAATTTCACAGAAGAAATCATTTTCAAATTCCATTCACAAACAACTCGTTTTTGAGCATCAAGATACAAGTCCTGTCTTGTCTCCTAGAGAGAAATGAAACAGGACAGTGATTTTCAATCGAATGGTGTGGCTCACTCAAGTGGAACCAGAACGTGCATTTGGTACCAATGGAAAGCTGGGAATGTCTAGTTTCAAATGCCACTGACAGCACTCGATTTTGACATCGGAGCTCAAAATTATGGCCGAAATACGAAAGCTGGTCAAAGCATTTCGGAAATAGTTCCAGATTTACTAGCTTTGTGAAATCAATTTATTTGACCAGCCAAACCTCAATATTTTTTAATGAAACTTTGTACACCATATATTCAACATATCAACGTGATATACAAGTCATGAAACCCTCAAAATTTTGCAAAAAGGGGTGCGATTAAAACAGGGCAAATCTGAACATTTTTGAACTATGCATCTCTTGGAGTCTAGACTAGCTAGGTATCATTAATCTACCTATTTAAACACTAACTAGCATTATATCCATCATCAATCCAAGGGTGGGAGTTCATAGAGCCCACCATCAAAATTTTCCGACATGAAATAAAACAAATAGCATGTGATTTTGGCAAATAATTCCACCACAATAAATCTGTCCTCGGCTAAACAGAATTTCCAGCAGCTAGTTGGTCATAAATCCAACTTTTTACTCGGCTAAAACATGATATTAAGTACTCAATTTCGGCATGCAATTTCTTAACTAGCCAATTAACATTTCCAGTTCAAAATTAGATTCAAACAACAGTTATAATCATCCCAAAAATTCCAGAATTTGTTCACCTATTCTCGGCTAGATTGCATGCAACAGATTCCTTGTTTCCTTTTCTTTTTCTTACTTAACCGCGCTAAAGAACGGCATGCAAAGCTTAAACACTTAATTCTTAGTTAGTTAATCGCAATTGCAAGCTCAGATTACTTCAATTAAGCAAGATCAAGTCTGCATTTCTGATTCAAGCTCACGGCAATATCCATTTCCATCAAACCAGATTTTCCTCATGCTTTGATTTCATCGACCAAACGCACAAACTCAACATGCAAGCTTTTAAACAGCTTCTTCTACCAGTAATTAGTTAATCTAAGTCTCGAATTTACCTCAGCTAGACGGTCAGTTCATGCAACAAGAAAAGCTGAAGTTTCTCTCCTCTCGGCTAAGCTCACGCACGCGATGGTTGCAGCTGTGGTGTTGCGGTTGGAAGATGGTGGCAGCTGGTTGGGGTGAAGGTGCAGATTGAAACGGTCAGCTCGCGGTTGGGAGGAGGAAGGTGATGCAGCTCTCGCGGTTCCCTCACACTCACTCGCGGACAGTTTGAGAAGGCAGCTTGCGCAGCTTCCTTTCTTGTTCAAGCTTCTGATCAGAAGGAAAAGGAAAAGCTCGGCTTTCTCTCTTGGCTATGATCACGAGGTAAGGGATAATGGTGTGGGACAATTGTGGTTGTGATTAAGGCTGAGGTAGTGGGGATAAGCTAACCGTGGAAGAGCTGGAGTGTTTGGAGTGGAGAATAAAATGGTAGTGCTGGAATTTTCTTAATTCTCGGCTGGTACTCACTTTTTAAGAAGGTAAGAGAGGTTTCTAGTTTTTCCTTCTTGTTGTCTTTCGGTTTGTAATAAACAGAGGCAGTGAATGTATTGTAGTTGTTTCTTTTCCTAAGTTCTCTCGGTTTCAAGACAAATGGAATAGAGTTGGTTGCATGGTTATTTATTCAAGTATTGAGACTTTAATGGTCTTTTAACATTAAAGTATTTATTTGCTAAGGGGTTGGAATCTTATCATCTTCAAGTATTGTCTCAAACTTTAGTTTATTCTAATTTACATACCCCTATAAGAGTTTTTCTCACACCATCCTAGGTATTACCGGTTTACTTGTTAACGAAAAGAATTAATTAAACTTGTATTTTAATAAATAAAAGAAAATGGAACATGTATTAAATTTTAAATAAGGAATAAAATTGTCAAGCTCTCACTCAAAATTCTTACCGTTATTCTTAGTTAAATCAGGATATTTCTAAATTCTCAATTTTTATGAAAATTCAATTAGGCTGTTAATTTAACCACTTATTCGTTATATGTAATTTCTCGAATCGATTATTTATTCCAATCACGTATTTACTATTTTCACTTAACGAGCTTACAGAAATTAAATTTCGAAACGAATCGCTTTAAAAAAATAATTAAACTATGGATACGTTTAATTAGACCTAAAAAACTTAGAAAATAATACTCGGAGAAATCGGGTGAGTAAATACTTATTTTAGCCAGTAAAATAAATAAAATAAGCAAAATTTTCGGGTCCTCACAGGGATCTCTTCAGATATATCATTGACCAAATCTTCGGGAATGCACAATGTATGAGAGAGAGGCTAAAGAATGAATGGGACTGAGTGGTCATCTCAAGTCCATCGCTTCAAGGAAGCAGT